TTGTAATAATGCTTTGTTTAGTTTGGAACTACATAACGTCGGGTCCAATTACAAAGGAAAATATTTATTTATTCCTTATTATTTAACCTTTAAGTTAAATACATATACAGCATAATTCTGTTGGTAACCGTAAATGTTTATCAATGATGTTCTGTATGTGTTTAGTTGGTGGTAATATGATAAATGCGAAAGTGACTCTGTCTGTCTGTCTCGCTTTCACGCCAAAACTACTGAATCGTTCAGGTACATACATAGTCTAGAGCCTGAGAAAGGACATAGGACTATTTTTAAATTGGAAAAAAGTGTTGTAAAGGGTTGAAAATATCTTTATATAAAATAAATATATAATTTTTAAAGAAAGATATTCAACGGACTTCAACGCGAGCGAAGCCGCGCGCGAAAAGCTAGTAAATTTTATAAAACCAGCAAATAGAATTATGAATTCTATAGGATCTCCATTGTAAACTTTTAAGATTAAATCTAGGTTGTAGCGGTTCGAGGATGAGCAAGTCATGAATATTTTAATGATCCTCTACAGTCGCCCGTTTATGCGAAATCGTTTGCGACGCATAAAACCTGTACCCTTGAGTCCGATAGCGGCTCCGCATGTATTATTTAGTTATTTTGTTTAACAGAAACAAGCTAGGCACTGATCGTTCAACCCTGTAGTCGTGAGACGCCCGATATCATGCCTGTCGTATTTCTTTCTTTTGCCTCGATTCATTTTTCTTTCTTTCTTTCTTCTGTTCTATACCAGGTGGGTGCAGTACAACATTTAAACCATGTTTTTAATGGTATCGGCTTGGTTTTTTTTACGACAGTTAACCAGTCGTATACGTTCAATTGCCGAAGCCATTCAGCTTAGCAACTAAGCTACCGAATCGTATAAGATTTTAGTCTCTGATAGTCCAGTAAAGTCTACCAGGAAGTTAAGCCGCCAATATCTCTCGGGAGCGGTAGGAGAGGGAGGGGGGTTTTCGGGTGTGGGATATCTTTCCGATATAACCATCCTTGGTTAAATTGAAATTGTAAAAGTTTAAAAAAATATTGAAATAGTAATTGTAAATTGAGTAAGAACAGATACAGGAAGAATAAAGAAAGTTTTAGTTTCTTTATTTGCTAGTAAATAGGTACAGAAAATATTTTTGTCCTATTATATCGTTGTCGTCACAAATGTCAAGCTAACCTATTTAGTTTTTAACAGCATGCAAATGTCGAAAAGATATATTTGCAATACAGTTAATTCTATTTTTTTTTGACAAATAACTGAAAACGTCCTTAAACAATTTTAATAGATATATTAATTAATTAATGCATCGATTTTTAAACAAATAAGAATAAATAAAATAATAGAAACAACTATTACACATTACAATTTAAAAACTGATTTATGGTGTACGATGGCTGTTAGAGAAACAATTGTTTCTCTAACAGCCATCGTCGTAACGAAATTTTAAACATATTATATGGTAATTGTTTTATATGTGCGGGTATCTTGTTATAAATAGTATTGCACATTGCATAGCTATTTTTTAAAAGCGTTTAATTTTTGGAATTGTGTCTAGTACTAATTTATTTTGGTTCCGTAAGTTTATTCTTGTCACATCTTTAGCTTGCAAAAACATATTCTTGTTTTGCTTTTCAAATTTGCAAACCTCAAATATATAGAGACAAGGAAAAGGAAATATATTTAAAGTCTTAAAATAAGTCTTGCATGATGTGTCTGATGAAATGTTAATAATAGCTCTAATACAGTGCTTTTGAGCTAAATATACTTTTTGACATTCTGCGCCATTATACCAAATTATAAGTCTGTATCTGATAATAGATTCTACATATTATGCAAAGTACACTGTGATCGCTGTATTGATCTGTTTGATATTTTTGTTAATTAATTATGTAACGCATGTGCAAATCTGTTAATTTTGTTACACACTTTATGTATATGTTCCTTCCAATTTAGATTAGAATCTATAACTAAACCTAGAAACGTTGTATTAATAGCGTTCCCTAGAAGTTGTCTATTATATTTAATATTTATATCAAAATTTATGTTATTAAAATTAATGATATGTGTCTTACTTTAATTAATGTGTAGATTATTTTTATTTAGCCATTTATCTATTGAATTCACTGTTTTAATTACGTCCGTTTTATGTTGGTCTAGTGATTTTTTTGGTCTTGTAGTAATCGTCACTGAGATGTCATCGCCGAATAAAGTGATTTTGTAATTTGACACATCAGGTAAATCATTTATGTATAATATAAATAACAGTGGTCCGAGTATACTACCTTGGAGAACGCCGAAAGTGTTTTTTTTTTAATTCCGATCTAAAACCTGAGCTATGTTGTTTGCATTTAATTTTGTTATTTCAACACACTGTGACCAATTTTTTAAATAACTTTGTAGCCAGCTGTAAACATGACCCCTTATTCCATTAGCCTCTGATTTGGCAAGTAACTGATCATGTGAGACACAATCGGATGCTTTAGACTTACTTGAAATAGTACTGTTGTATAATTTTTTTGAATCACATTTTTCCAGACTTCCTTTACTAACGTTAACCTAGCATGTGTTGTCGATTTCTTTTTTTGGAAACCATGCTGATTTTGCTTTATTGCATTAAATTTAGTGAAAAAGGAAGTAAGCTGGTAGTGTATAACTTTTTCGAATAATTTTGACAGGACTGGGACTATTACTATTGGTTGATAGTTAGTTATATCACTTTTATATCCCTTTTTGTGTAACGGTTTTACTATGTAAAGTTTTAATTTGTCAGGAAAAGTCCCTGCTTCTAAAGAGAGATTAATAAGAAATGCAAATATTTCACTAATTTCATTATTACAGGATTTAATTATTTTTGTGCATATGAAGTCATAGCCCTCAGATTTTGTGTTATTGAAAGCCATTATTATTTTCTTGATAATGTTCTTATTTATAGGAATCAGAAAAATTTATTGAGGTAGCTTCACGTCGGTTGAATTTTCAATTTAATATCGCATCTGATTTGTGGTGTTGATGAAATAATTATTCATAATGGCTGCTATTTCGGCAGGTTCCGTTAATGTCTTTCCATTATTTATTAGTTTATTTATGTAGTTTTTAGTATTCCCACAGCTTCTCTCATTTTTTATTATTCTCCAAGTAGCTTTACATTTATTTTTACTATTTACTACAAATTTATTATTTGTTTTTCTTTTAGTTATGTTAATACATTTTTTTTAATAGTTTATCATAATTTTTAAATTTATCACGGTCACAAATTTTTTTAGTCATGTAAAACTTGTATCTAAGTTTACGTTTAGTTCTACAACTTTTTTTTAAACCTTTGGATATCCATGTTTTTAGTAAAAGTATTAGATTTTAGGAAGAACTCTTATTTTAGGAAAACACAGTTTATAAAGTAATGTAGTACGTTAAAGAATTCATCAAACGCAATATTTATATCAGTCTGAGCATAAACATCATTAAATGAAATGCATTTTAAATATTTTTCAAAAACTGTCTATATTTCGTTCTGAATAGTCTCTAGAATAAGAATATATTGTTTTTGGTGTTACGTTTTTGTTAGTTTTTGCAGTAAACTTTAATACCTGTGCAGTATCATGATCAGAAAGCCATACTGTTGGCCCATATCCAATTGCTTCGTCAATCTTACTAATAATAAGATCAAGACACGATTTGCCTCTAGTGGGTTGTTTTACGTCGAAATGAAGATTATATTTTATCACTTTTTTAAAGTAAAAATCTTATCTCTGTAATGAATCTCTTCAACTTATGAGAAGCTTTATTTCTTTTGTTCTCCCCGACGCAGAGAATAGCGTACATATCGGAAATGAACGAAGCAAAAACCGCACGATAGATAACACTTATCGTCATTTGGCAGCTCCGTTCCGTCGGAAATTCCCGCGGCAGAAATTTTATACGCGCAAACCGCTTCATGATATTCTATATAAAGACTAGCTGACCCGGCAAACGTTGTTTTGCCATATGAATTATTGCTAGGGAATACATAAGGTTGCACCACCCTTATCACTTAAGGGTGTGAAAAATCGATCAAGACGTTTCGGAGGCGTATGGCAACTAACATTCTGTCTGACACGAGAATTTTATATATATAGATATAAAAAATCTAAGCTATTTCACGATAGTTATTTCAAGAGTATCTTTGTTTTGCTTTCTCTTCTCTAAATATGTAATAATATAGGTATGGATACATTCTATAGCGCTTTCTCTTCGATTATAAGTAAGCTGTGTTCAAATTATAAAAGATGAGACCATCATAGGAGGTAACAGTCAAGCGCCAGCTGATGATAATCTTATCATCGATACAATTAATTTATTATGGCTATTTTTTCATAATTTGTCTAACTAACTTTTCTTTGCCTAAAATCTTAAAATTTAGTCTGGGCTAGGTTTATTGCCTATTTTTAGGGTTTATTCATGCAGAATACCTTTACAAAACTAACGACCAAACCCCACAAAGTTAAAAGTCGCCAGAGATGCTCTTTAACTATTTGTGTATTATTTTAAAACAATGAACTCCATGAAAAGACGCTCCTAGTCACATGCCTATGTTTTGTTTTTCACGTTTTCAGTTAAATAAGACAGTTAAAAATTACTTTCAATTATCGCGCCAAACGCAATCTCATCATCATAAATAAATATTTAAGATACATTTTTACACAACGTTCTCTAGTCCCAAACTAGGCAACGCTTATACTATGGTTACTAGATAACCGATGAACATACATAAACGTACTTTTCTTTTGCAAATAAATACATATTTATGAATGTATAAAACACCCAGACGCTGGAAAAACATTATGTTCATCACGCAATATTTTTCAAGTAGCGGGGATCGAACCCATACAACAAAAGGCAAAAGGGGTAAAAGGCGGGTTCCCTACTCACCACGCCAATCGGATCGTAGACACAACAAACACTTCGGTCGGTTGGTTTAGTAAAGTTTTAAGTAAAAATCCATTCCACAACTGACCTGTATGGCGACGCCGTCGACGGATATCGTGATCTCGACCTTCTTGCATTTGGCGCTGTCCTTCGCTTCAGACTTCTTCAGCTGCTGCGTGAACTGCAGCTTCTTGATGGCGTCCTTCACCACCTCGATGCCTTTGGGCTGGTCCACTTGGGTGCAGCCTAGGAACTGGAAAAGGCGCACCAGTTAATATGTAGAGTTTCTCCCGTTGTGGTTCCGCACGGTGAAGGTAGGTCTTGTCATATCAGCAGGCCTACTCCCGAGAGATTCGAGTTCCGAATCAATCGAATTTGCCTCGAACTCATGGCATTTCGTATCACTGAACCTGACACCAGCGAGGGGCCTCTTATTGGAAGTAACTAATATTATTCATTTTTCAAAAAAAAATTAAGTAATCAAAATATTATCTAAGAAATATGTTATAACCGTAAACATTGATCATTTGTAAGTGACTTAATAGGCCGTATACTCTGTTAACGGATTTGATATTGTATGATCTTGTTTCTAGTTTCAATTCGGTTCGAGAGTAAGCTTTTCAAATCGAGTTCGAATCAAGAGTGAGATTGAATCGAAAACAAAAACAACTCGATTCAGATTTGGGGAGTAAGACGGCAGGTCGTCATTCTTTTACGATAACAACGTAATGGTTTCTTCTATCTCGTGAGGTGGTTCTCGTGAAGTTAAGTGGAATTTATGTTCAAACACTAAGCTTCGAGGGTTATAAAAAAAATATCTCCTTATTTATGCAATCGTTATTTTTACTTGCCACACATTTGTATAGCGAGTATACTAAAATATAACTATGTTCAAATCTTTAATTTACTGTTGTCACCTGTCGAACTAGAATAATAATTTGCAAGAAGCAAATTTCAGTTTGTATGTATCTCTAATTCGTTGCCACGCTCTACAACCTGAGCTTTTGACGGATTTCAACATTAATTCACCTATAGGTGAATTAATAATACATATTTAGTATTTTATTGGCTTCTGATTTTTTTATTCTTGACGTTTCGAACACTATGGCAATCGCGATCACGGTTATTATCTTTGAAAACTTTAATGACGATATGATTTTGAGTTAATGACATTTTTCCGTTAATATAGCCGGTTTCCTTGCTAGAATATAGATATATAGATTTATATTTAAGCGACATATTATAAGTCACTGTATTATACAATATAATAATAAATATTAAGAATATATATACATTATAGAACTTACTCCCGCTAGTATTGTATAATAATATAATAGAACATACGTATTAAAAATAAAATGTGTATTAACGATTACTTGGATGTATGCGATTACATTTAGTTATTACTGCGTGCTTTAATTATTTAGTTTCTACGAAAATATTAAATAGGCTATATCCGTTTAATATTTTTGGATTACGAGCGCTTGCACTTCACTTAATTGACAGTATGGCAGAGTAAAAAAGGAAACATTTTATTTTTATACAATTATATAAATCTGCTTTAGTTGATTGTTTTATCTTCAAAATAACTACGTAGAAATGGGCTTTATTTCTTGCACAGTAAAGTATTTAATCCAAGCGTAATAAGTGTTTATTTTCTATTTTTTTAAAATCCATCGTAAATCATCGTTGGCCGTCGCTCCCGGACGCAATAAATAGAGCGATCGATCGGTGTAAATGCCAAACTATATTATAATAATAAAATATAAATATAAAAAAAATGTAAAGATAAAAAGTGTTCATTGCAACCTATGAAATAGTCTGCAATCTTGCATTCTCCTTATATGTGTTCCATTTTTAGGGTTCCGTATCCAAAGGGTAAAACGGGACCCTATTACTAAGACTCCGTTATCTGTCTGTCCGTCTGTCACCAGACTGTATCACATGAACCGTGATAGTAAGACAGTTAACATTTTCGCAGATTATGTATTTCTATTGACGTGTAATAACAAATACTAAAAAAACAGAAAAAATTAAGTGGGGCTCCCATACAACAAATATGATTGTTTTGACGATTTTATAGATAATGGTAGAGGTGGAGGATGGTGTATCTTAACATCTCGATTATGATGAAAGATTGAGATTCGTTTGTTTAGGTTGTTCCTATCAGAATCATAAGAAGAGTGTATTTTAATAATTACACTGTAACCTAGAGCGATTGTAGCCGGGGCATTGTCCAAATCGATTGGAGAAATAGCCTGGTCTGAATAAAAACGGTCGTGAAGTAGAAGCTTCGCCTATTGAGGTAGCCTAGGTACAGTAGGCAGAATGTCTGCTTTCTTAGTAAAACGCCCAACACATCATGTCTGTGTTAAAAAGAGGCGGTCCTCGCTTACCATGAGCTTGCTCAGTTACCATCGCTGTGAAATAAAGAAAAACAAGCCATGTGTTGTACCATTGGTTCCGTACCATTCTCTACGCTGTTTCTTGTATGGGAACCCCACTTATATATTTTTGTTTTAATCTGTTTTTAGTATTTTTTGTTAAAGGGGCAACGGAAATACATCATCTGTTAAAATTTCAACTGTATTAACTATCACGGTTCATGAGATACAGCCTGGTGACAGGCGAACGACAGACGAAGTCTTAGTAATAGGCAAAATAGGGTCCCATTTTACCCTTTGGGTACGAAACTCGGAAGCATATAGATAAAAAATGACTGGCAACAACAGTGATGACCTTGTAATTCATCTGGCCGTAATCTGTAATTTATACCTAAATCATTTTGTATACTTGTATCAAACAGATAACAAGACCGAAGAGTTTCTTGCCGGCCGGTCTCGTTTAGTGAAACGGTAGTAGCTACTTGACGTTCGAGATAAGAGTTTAAAATAGCCCTATATTGAATAAAGAAATGTTGACTTTTTTGTCTTTAATGAAATATTATCCTCAGTGGAGGGAAGACGTCTCAATGCAGCCTCCGCACCGGCAGTAAACAATGGATAATTACGCACACTGCATTACGCAATCGCCATAATTGCCGCGTATTACGATAATATAAGGTGCATGCGAATTAATGTCAAGGGGAGGTCGGCAGAGAGCGAATATTCGCTTTGTCCGCCGGGTCATGCGATGTCGATATATCGATACGGTTCAGATACCGATTGTCGATAAATTAGTCTCGCTTTGTTCTTTCGTACCGTTATTGTTGTTTTATTTTTGCCAAATCGAGTTTTTATTCAATCGTCGATCACAATGGAACAAATTGTACGCGTAAACGTTAAATCTGACCGTAACGTGCAGTAACGTCTTAAATATTTTATTTTTATCCTAGATTTATCAGACTATTAATTATTTAGTTCCCGCCAAAAACTGCAATGTCACTTTGTTTTTTTTTCTAGTACGGGCATATCCATCCAAATTCACGTGCCAGCACCGATGAAATAGTTGAAAGCAATTTTAAGTACGGACTTAAGGTACGGACTAAGGAAAACATCGTGAAGAGACCTGCATATTTTCGAAATAAATTATGACGCAAAAAAGAATTTGATGTCTGTGGACGTGATGGACTATGTCCTAATAATCTCTGCACAGAGGAGGCCCAGGAGTGGGACATAATATTATGTAGGCAGTTACGTACTTTACTTTTACGTTTTTGTAAGTTTTCCATATAAATATACGATGCATTGCGATTTGTAAATTTTAGGTTTCTTAAATTGGTCCTCTTCTTACACGCTTTCTAAACTAAGCTTCGAAAACTAGATACTGTGGTAGGGCCTCGCAAAAGTCTTCGCCGTTGTACGAAAATGCAGGTCCGTCCGGGTGAGTGCCACGAACTCACAGAAGACCGGCGAGTGTCATTAAGTGAATCACCAGCTCATTTACCATCTTCTCACATAAAAAAATGACGCTATTGAAATTTAATTTTTGTCTTCTATCACCGCAAAATTTAGCGACAGAAAAATGATTACTCATACATTAAAGTCTGTTATGTGTCTGGTCTGTGACGTGTCAAATTAGCGAACAACTCCATGTGAAACAAGTCGGTATTTCCTACGATTTAATCGTAATAATTGTTTGGAAAACACACGTCGGGGTGGCGATAAAATCTTAAATAGGGTTAATGACAGAAAATTATTACTGATTAAACTAATTATGTACTTATGCCTTCATTATTTCCCCAAAGTATTTATTCGCCGCGGCTGTGATTGTGGGATGCAATTTGGCGGCTTATCTCATTTTACGTCAAACAACGTCAGTAAAACTACGGTATAAATCACGATGAGTATTCGAAGCTCGTGCCTTGTGGCAGTCAATGAAGAATGTTCAACAATGGACTAACACGCTGACATGATGATGATGATGACATGTTTATAAATATTAAATTATGAATGTAGAATATAATTTACGTGGAGCTAGCTATAAACAATGTCAAGTAAATAAGTTTCATTTATAATGTCAAGTAAATATAATTTGTTATGCCTGGCAATCTAAATTACTTATTGAATGAAAAAAGTTAAATCGAGGCGTCTTCTACATTCAAATCAACTGCAGATAATTAAGACGATAATTCATTAGCCCGTCGGCGGTGAACATAATACCATAAATCGTAACGGAGTAAAAATCCTCGCATACTGACGTATTACTATTATATTATTATTCAATAAACAGACTACTGCGAGGGGTCACTGCGAGATATCGCCGCGCGCGCAAGTTTTCCGCAAACAATATACACCGTAGCGGTACAGTCGCGCACGGCCGGCACAATCGATAGCTAGAACAATATGCGGCGGTTAAACGCCCCCTATACCGATAGCGTCGGACATCTGTTTATGACACGTGTTCAGATAATGTGCGCGCGTGTACTTTTTTTTTTGAGCCGACTTACGCGCGGTTCGGCATGTAGGTCAACAGATTCGTGTTATTAGGATTTAATTCGGTAGAATATTTGATATTGGATAGAAGGTCGTGTTACAGTGTGTATTGTATGAACATACATATAGTTAACTAGTTCACCCGTGCAAAATTGTAGTTGTTGCACGAATTGGCGGCAGGTCCGTTTGTGTAGGTACTGCGACTTTTAACTTCTTTATTACACCAATTACACCAATTGGTGTAATTTCGTAAGCGTCTCAGTGTCATATGTGTATTTTTATATACAAATACGGGGCAGATGTGACGGATTTATTTAATGTCATTGGTTACACCACATACCTTGACCAGATAGGCGACGTGGCCTTTGACGAGCGCGTCCGGGGCGTGTATCCAGTTCCGGCCGTTGGGGGCACCGTTGGCCTTGCCACGGCCCTGCCAGAACAGCAGGGTGGACATCCTGGGGACGGGAAAAGCAATTAAAAAAATCTATCAGCCGAACAGTTCTTCCGAGTGTTTTTGACACATCAACAATCGAATAACAAACAAATCACATCAATTTATGCAGAGCTTTTTTTGGCTTAGCAAAGCACGCGAATCGAAGATAAAATAAACAAATGCACATTCTATTGCTCATCGTTATTCGGCAATCCCATTCTGTCGGCAGTTACCTACTCTTAATGTATAAACGCAGGGAGCAAAATTTTCAAACAGTTAAATGAAATTTGTAAATATAAGTCGTTTCATTTAACAGAAACTATAAAGTTCTTAAATAGACTTCTTTATATTGGCACGATCTGAATTAACCGATGGAGGGAAAGAGACAGAGGACGTTCATACGAGGTTTTTGCCGAAACAAGGCAATACAGTTTAATACATGTATTTATAATTCTAAGTTTTCTCCTCACTATCCCAGGAGATGGTAAGTTGTAATGGTAGGGCTGTTATTGGTGATGGCAGTTGAAATAGCTGGTTATGACAGGATACATCCGTTACGTTTAATACAGTGATACATCGTAGATATACAAAAGTAAATTAATAATTACATTGATAATGAGATGTGATTATGAAACGAATCGTTTACAAGTAGGAATTTTATTTAAATAGCACATGGGGAAACCCGACCACGAGTACAAACGTGTTTCTTGAGAAGGTTATAGTCGTGTGGAGGCTTCTAGAACGGAAAAGGACAATATTGGAAACGTTCCTTAGATGTGAACAGTTAAAATACCATTAAAAACAATTGAATGAGTAGTGTTGAACACATTGTTATGCAAAAGCCAATCTTTTTTTATGTATTCTGGAGGAAAGTTGAAGGATTTTTTGAGGTGCATGCATAAAGGTGTGTTTAATAAAATGTTTATATGGACTGCAAGCCTGATTATCTCCCGATGAAAACGTTACTCACGAAATTTATATTAATAACGATGATAAACAGATACTATTTAACTTCTCGATTACTATTTAACGTATACGATGCGTCGAAGAGGTAACAACGATTAAGACAGGTGTTCAAGTCGCGAAAAAAAAAAACACGTTTTTATAACCAACCAGATTAAATTCCAGTGCATCATAACTCACAGACAGTTCCAAGAACGGTCGTTAATGCTCGTCGTTTTTTAATCGCATAGCGAACTGGAGACTTCCTTGTTAAAAATAATTGTTTGATTCAAACTCTTCGAGTCGCCTTTTTTATGTGCAAAAGTTGGCGGGCGAATTGGCGGTTCATCATCATGTCATCATTTCAGCCTGTTTGAGTCCACTGCTGAACATAGGCCTCCCCCATAGACTGCCACGAAGTACGATCCTGAGCCACCTGCATCCATCGACTTCTCGCACATTTGCACAGGTCGTCACTCCATCTAGTGGGGGGTCGTCCTACACTGCGATGACGATTGGCGGTTCATCTGATGTTAATTGATACCGCCCATGGGCATCTATAATATCAGCTACGTTGCCAAAGAGACGAGGGTGCGTGAGTCTATGGTATTTCTATGCAACAGTAGATACTGCTGTGTGGCACTACATATTTTCATCGTTTATGTTGGTACTGATTTAAGCACTCTCTAGTCGATCAATAGAACTGTTTTTATAAGGAACTGCTATCTTTTCACCTCTACTCTGATGGTAAGTGGCTATACAGCCGTAGATGGTAAGCGCACTGCCTCATTCTATTCACTCTTGCCTTGAAGACTTTATATTCGGGCGTGAAGACTGACGCCGGCAAAGGATGCTTCATCAAAACTTATGATCGCATTTGTTGACACGGTCCTGATCCATCGTAATTCAAAACACAGTGATCTATGAAGTCATGTACATAAGAAAGACACTAAAGAAAGGATTTCAGTCTCTAGGAAATAAAGTTGAACAGTTGAACCATCAACGTAATCGTACAAAATATTAAAGTTTTAGTCCACTGTGGGACTTACATGATGATGATGTGGTACAAACAGTTGAACTCAGTTATACGGCGTCAACTTTTGACTCCAAAAACAGAAAGGGAGAGGTAGTAATGATCTATTATGTATTATAAATATAATGTAGTGTCGAAAGAAAATTGCAACTCCGTGTTAATTTATATTATAACACGCATTACATTGCTAACGATCCTTTGTTCGTTAATGAAAATAAATAAATAGAATGAAAACATAATTATCGGCACCCATTTATAGCCGTGTTGAGGCAATGTCCATCATATACTTTAGAGGCGCACAGCTCACGAGCCACTAGCAACGGCCTTACAGGGAAAAGTAGAAGTATTATTACTCGTTCGTTTAAAATTTTATTTATTTTTCGATTGTTTTTATTTTACAGCATAGTTTTAAAGTTGAATTTTGTATTGTATTAATTTTGTTTTGCCGTAGTATTTATTACTATTGTTGTTACATTTACGCCCGGTTTCTAAAACCCTGATCATCGTAGATGTCAACTAGTCAGCTGTCAAATGGCTTTTGAAAAGCCATTTGAGTTGTTTGAGCCATTGAGCCAAAAGGATGGTTTAATTCTTTGAATTTATCATTCTAGTCAATTTAGTGGAGTTTAACTATCCTTTTGGGTACTAAAATGAAATTTGAAAAGCCATTTGACAGCTGGATTAGTTGACATCTACGATGATCAGTGTTTCAGTTTTGGGTTGTGCGTCCTTTTTATAGATAAATAAATATATTTTTGTTTCTTCAATTTTCTGGCAAGTGAGGTAATCGGTGCCCATGCCGTAAAGGTTGGTGATCAACTGAGACCTTCACGAGTTGTTTTAGATGTAAATGGACGACGTTAATAACTTATTAGCAGACGACGTGCACAATGTGTTCGTTTTAATTAATATAAAGAATAAGAATTGCGGCTGGTCATAAAAGGGCCAGTTTTTGCTCGCTCAAAGGATTTTTTGTTGTAAAAAGTTTTAAATCAAGCAGCGGGCTAGTAAGATAATGTGCAATATGGCAGATATTTAACATTATTATTCTTAGTTCAACTATTATAATTTATACAATAATTGCTCGTTTCAAGTTATAAGATCATGATAATCTTTAGCGTCATACAACCATTAGAGAGACGTGTTGCATCGTGTCACTAATTGCTTATTGTACCATCGATTTAATTATTACGACACATAAGAACAAGGTATGCGACTTCTTAGTGTATGCCCCAACACAATTCTAATCATCTATTTATTTCGCTTCGTCAGATAAATTACATTTAAGAACAATAACAATTAGACTCTGGACAAAAGCGAACAAAAATTGAAGTTAATAGATTTCAACATCAAAAACTAGATTTATAAAACGCCATCCGGTAAAACGTGAAATAAGTTTCCGGGGGTTACCCGGCGCAAAAAGAGAGATGTAATTAGTTTGTGGTGTCTATCTGTGGCATCGTAGTTTTTAAACGAATAAACCGATTATGATGCAGTTTTTTTTGTTTGAAAGCTCACGTGATCAATGGTTCTTAGCTTAAGGCGTTTGAATAAATCATGAGCTCATTTCGAGGCCACATGGTAACATGCAAACAAGCACGCAAAATGCAGCAGTTTCCGTCACTGCTCCGGCACTGTTTCTTTTTACTTTCGAGAGTTTTTTCTGTGTCGATGGGTTACTTAAAACGTTTAATTTTAAGTTGTAATATTTTATATTCAAACTACACGAGCATTATAGTACTAGTCAGTAGTCACGAGCATTCGTACAGTTTAACAAACGTCCAAAATCTCAGTCTGTCCCGTGACCATGAACGATGAGCTGTAAATGGTTCGAAACGTTGGGAATTAAAATTAAAAATAAACGCGATAAATCCTTTTCATTTACTAGTCAGTAGTTTGAATATAAAAACAAAGGCGGTGGTTTAATTATAAAAAAGCTGCTACACTTGATTCGAGCAAGTGAAATTGCTCTATGTAGACACGGAGCCACTACTTGTCAGTTTTCGCGCTTAATTTCAGTCTTAATGACTGCAAGCACCAGTGACATTAATTAAGGAATATTAAATTGAGACAACACCATTTCGTTTGGTTTTTATGAAATTATTTATTACCTTTGCGTGCAAGTCAAATTGTTAAATTTGACGACGATTTATTGTTTATTTAGTAAATTTCTCAAATATAATTATAAGAAAGAGAAATTACGTATATTTCAATATAAACCGAACCCCACTCATCTAAAGGGTGGTAACGAATCAGCAATCTGGTGTTAAAGATGCGAACTGACTGCCCTTTTCCAACGTTTTCAGGTTAAAGACATTTATTTATCACAAAAAGAACATTACATAGTTCAATTAAAACGTGATAAACATAAAGAAGTCTTAAATATATATATGACACAAACAACAGTCTCAGACGGATAACAGTGCTTATAAATCTAAGCAGATAGTAAGTTGTTTAATAGGCGTTTTTTGAACAATGCAATGGTTTTACATCCTTTAATTTCCTCAGGCAGTTTGTTGTATAGTTGCGTTCCCACAAATCGAATATTTTTTTTCCTACACCAGTTCTACATGTTGGTAATTCAAGGTTATGTCTATTTCGGATTAAATATCGATGTGATCTTTTAGGAAAATTTATAAGTGAGTGCACTGATTTTAAAAGTATTTTTTTTACAAAAAGACATGTACTGTATGTATATTTTATTGATATTTAATATTTTTGTATTTTTGTAAATTATGTCTGTTGATGTTAGATAATGGTAGTTAAAAAGATTCTTTACTATTTTATTTTGTGTTCGCTGTAATGTATTTAGGTTTGTCATTGCTGAACTTCCCCAAACTTGTATTAGATATTCTAGGTGTGGTTTAATGAGCGAGTTGTATATAAGTTTTTTAACGGGATACGGAAAACATTTAGCTATTTTTCTTAAAGATACAATCAATGGTGTCAATTTAGAGCGTATTTTATCTATATGGCTTTTCCATGTTAATTTACTGCCCATTATTAAACCCAAATACTTTTCTTCATCGGAGATTGCTATCGGTTG